AAAAACAGATTGATTGTTCATTGACTTTGTTCTTGTTACATCATAATTGCTCTTATCGCTCTCTGTACAGACACGTGGTCCTGATATAATTCCGCCTCAGATTCCTGGTATTAATGTTACAGTACTATATCCACTTTGCCCTTTCTGACCAGCAGAATAACCACATTACTGTGCACATGCCGGATGCCAGTAAAATGGAAACGCTGCGCTATGTAAAGTTCACGGGAGATTCAGACAGACACGTCTGGAAACTCTGATGCTGTGACAGATGGAGCTCTACCTGCAGGACTCCATATCTAACTAGATTTGTTCCCTCTCCTTGGATTATAGGTCATGTACAATGTGATTGGGATTGAAAAGTATCTTTTGCCTGCGCTGGTTCTAATAAAATCAAAGATTGATCCAGGAAAGGGAAAGCTGGACAAATCCGGTTTGTAATTCTGTTATGTCATTAGTAATAATACATAAAGGTTCAGTCCCTCTTCTCCTGAACGACAGGTCAGGACTGTACAGCAGCTTTGTATTATATACCCCGCCTCATATATGAACAACTTCAAGAGTGTGAACAAATCAAATTGTGCATTTCACTTTTTGTATGGCATGCTTCATGACGTGCACTGATCTCCTTCTAGTAATGCTTATCCTTTGCCTGTCATACCGATCCTTTGGCATCAGGATATAATACTTTATGAGTCACTGACTCAGAAAGCATTGCATATGCTGGATTAGCATGACAGCATGGTAACCACAATACTTGCATTTTCAGTAGCCAATTAGCAATCAACAATTTACATAATTTGGCACCTGAAGGGCCATACACTTTACGGAAACTGCTCGCCCCTGCTGGCTATTGTATTCTGACAGCTGGTGGTCAGAATACCCAAACAGTGACTGCAACTGATTGGCCGACAATTTTCCAACCGGCTGCTTCGACTGAAAGCTGAATAAAATATCCACTGGTTCAGCTGGGTGGTGCCAACAGGGCCACCCACGGATGGAATTTCACATAATTTAGCATGAAATGGCTGAAATGTAACCCATGTATGGCCAGCTTTACTCAAGGTCTGATTGAAATATCGACTTTTGTTGAGCTGAGTGGTGATGGTTAGTGATGGGCTCGGGCGTGTTCGCAGCTACATGTGCCGAGCCCGCCAGGAAGCTGACAGCGCCGCTGCGCCAATCACAGGTACTGAGACATTTCCTGATCTCTGCAGCTGCGGACCCGGATAATGTCTCAGTACCTGCAGGGCCGGATTTACTCTCCCTGCCTCCCAAGGCCAGGTTCTGCGATGCCCCCTACCCTTCCCCCCTTCCCATCAATGGAGAATGGCAACCAGATGGCAGGACGGAGGGGTTAGTGTAAATGTTTTTTACTGATTCTTTATTTATTTTCATCACTTTTTAATTTAATTATTTCTTCTTATTTTTTTATTTTTATTTATTTAATTTTTTTATCAATGTAATTTTTTTAGATTTTTATTCATC